AGCCGGTGGGCGGCGGCCCCGAGCCCGGGGGAGCGGGGAGGGCCGGGGCTCCGGGCGGCGGCGCGGGCAAGACGCGCGAGGAGGCCCCTGTGCCGCGTCCCTCTCGCTGCGCGGCGCTCGCACGTGTGTTACTGACAGAGCCGAATCCCAACTAGACTCCAGCGCTGCTCCGCGTCAGCGCCGCGCGCCCAATCCGCCCCCGGCTTGTTCAGGCGGAATAATAAAACCTGCCAATCCCGGGGAAGACAAAGGGACGAGGGAGCAGGGGGGGCCGGGGAAGGAGGCTGGGTCAGGTGGGAAGCAGCCGCCGCCTGGCTGCGGAGCAGGGGAGGCTGCCGCTGCTCCTCCAGCCCCGGGTCCCCCCAGGCGCGGATTTGCCAGGTCACGGCTCATCCCCCGGGGCCGGGACAGCCCTTCGCCCCCGGGGACAGCCCCGCGCCGCGCCGCGGGGGCAGGAAAAGTTGCGAGCGGCGCCTCGCGAGGCGACCACGTCCCGCCCCTGCCTTTTTTTAAGTGCTCCCCACTGAAATCAATGGGGAGCTGTACTTAAACGCTAATGCGGCTCTATAATCCGGGATTATTAATACTCTATAAAGGTTTAAAGCGGGGGATACGATCTGCATTTGGCTGGCAGTTAACACGGCAGCTGCCGCTTGATCCAGGCTGCCGCACCTCTGGGAAGAAAGACGCTGTCTGAGGGCCAGTGAGAGGCACTAATGCCTCATTTGGGGGAGTGCGGGGGAGCATAGCACCATAGAGGCAACTATAGAAGAAAGAAAAAGTCTCCCTCGAGGGGGAAAAACAATAATGAAAGAAGCTTTAAAAGTGCCACAACTCTGAGGCCTATTGCCCTGAACAATTAGGCAGGGGCAGTAAGGTGTTTCCTATCTAGTCCTTTCTCGCACAGCAGGTGCCAGAATGCTTCACAGAGTTCAGTGGAGGTAAAGAGTCGGGTGAACAACAGAAGATAGATGGAGGATTCATTTCTTTAGGGAAGACGATCGTGTCAGTCTCTTTAATTTAGCATTTTTCCTGTAAATAATCCATCCAATTAGATGCCACCAGGTTTCTCCTCCTCAGAGTTGCATCCAACTCTGTAGTGAGGCGCAGTCTAACCCTGGGTGACACACATACCCCCAGTCTATCCCAGCACTCTCATGAAATGAGCGGAGTCATAAATATACAGAGCTGGCTCCATCATACAGGTGGAGCAGTTAGTTGCTTTTGGCAGCAAAATGTTTAGTGGCTGCAGAGTGTTTGGCTAAAGAGGAGTTTGAGTGGTACACAGTTTCCATTGTGCTCAAAGCAATAAAATATTGTAGAGCTGTAAACGTCTAGTTAGAAGGGATATGTTCATTTTAACCATGAGCATTTGTTTAGTGATGGTGTGTTTGTATTAATATGACGCCTACATTATCTCTTCGAAGGAGCAAAAAGTAAACCTTGTCACTGCAATCACAATCCAGGTGTACTTTAACCACAGCGCCACCTGTGGGTGTCCTGTATTTTTGCATCCTTCCCTCAATGGACCGAAGAGAAGTGCTGTTGATAACCCGCTGCAAGTCAGGTAGAAAAATATTTAGATGTGACAATACAGAGAGAAACATTTCTAGGTGCCATCAATGCATTTTTATATTCTGATTATATACGTACTAGTACAATGTCCTTTAAATGTCACAGAAGTACAATTTAAATGTAGGGGGAAAGGTCGTTTCTTCTTATGCATTAATCAGTCCTATGGAATATCATTGAATGGGATCCCATTGTAGGATTGGTACATTACTGGGCAGAAAACAAGAGATGTGGGTAAAAGAATGATGCGTTTTTATTGCATGTTTTTGCAATTAATCACCTAAATATAATCTCCATAAATTTATTTACATATGTATTTCATTTGGGTGTATATACCAAATGAAATGCATATGTAAATAAATATCCACATACAGACTCTATACGTACAAGCTGGCCATTCAGATGCTGTGGCAATTTAAAATATACAAGTTATGCTACAAATATTAACAGTTCCTTTTAACCTATGTTCTCTGACTTGCAAAGAGCAGTACAAACAAGAGAACAACCCCTACATGAAACAAAAATCTGTTATCTAATTCTCTAACTCTGTGATGTCTGTAAATTACCAAATTCAGGGTTTGAATTCAGGAAATATCAGGAGTTTCCAACCGAGAGAGAATTCTTAACAAAAAAGCTGTACCGCTGGCACAAAAGAGTTTACCCGTTTTACAGCTAGCTACTAGTGGTATATGATAGGAGAGATCCCTTTCCAAGAGGCAGGGTACCGGACCATTCTGGATTTTTAAAAAGCTTTCCAAATATTCACTACCATATATTGTACAAACGCATTACTGCATAATATTAATCTTTGCTTTTTCTAAACTATTATTTTCCCTAATTTTGTGATTAGTGTGAAGTAGAAAATCTTAACTGAGATCATTTTGCAGAATGATATTTTTCTAATTTTTCTTTTGTGCAGCATCTGTTGTTGCTGTGCTGTCATCTTTGTTATGTTTTTCATTGTCTGTGTGCCATAATGTAATTAGTTAGTTCAACATCATCTGTGCTATTAGATGAGATGTTTCTATGGTAAGTTAACATAGTTCTGTGTAACTGGTAGATTTCAACAGTAGGCATAAATGTGTCCATCAACTTCAGGTGGGTTGAATCCACAAGATTTCAATTCATACTTCTTCCTAGAAGAGACTGTTAATTGCAGCTGAATAAATAAAAACATAATACACAAGGAAAAGCTGATGGCTGGTAACACTGTAGGACTTAGAGAGAGAGAAGCTCATAAAATGGTTTATAAGGTTGAAAGCTGTTAGCTGAATGATTGAAAAGAGTTAAGTCTATCATCAAAATCATTTCACTCCTACAAATATCCATGAGACAGCATCTAGGGAGTACAGAACCCACTGTGGTTTTCCTCTCCATTCCATGAAAGGTTACCATTTTTGTCCCTAACCCCTGCAGACTCCTCTGGGCATGCAGCTGTCTCTTTCCTTCTTCCCTAGGTTCCTAAACTGCTGATGCTGCCATTTTGTGATGAGATTCCCCTTGTTATCCTCTGTCTGTCTCCCAATCTACACCTTTTGGGTAAAGGATCAGACTCTGAAAGGAAACCCTTTTATCTCGTAACTCCTTGTAGAGGCAGCAATGAAATAAAACTGCCATTTCCTATTTCAAAATAATATTACTTTCTTTTGTCCCAGGATCTCAAAGAATTTATAAATATTAGTGGATTAAGACATCATTGTCTACTGGTAGGAGAGAGTACAGATCCAAAAAAAGAAGTCTGTAACATGCTGGGAAGAAAAGCCAGGTTTCCTGACTTTCAGCAGCCTCCTCTGATCATTAGACCACTCTATCTGCTCTGACTTATTTTTAGAAAGATACATACACATATACCTTACTCTTCAAATCCTTAGTCACATGAGTAACACTGCTTCCTACAGTTGTGCTCTGTGGAAGTCCATGAGTAAGGAACACTCACATAGATAAGGAGATAAAGGATGTGGTTCTTCCTTATCATCAAAGGATCCACACCTTAGTAAAAGCAATATAAATTGCATAATATGTAAGTAATGAATTCCCCTTAGCAAGAAGTAAAGCTAGATGTGCAATGATACTGCCATGATTAAAATTATTGGTAGCTATTTTCCTGAGTGTATTTTTAGTTGAAAAACTGATATATCGTCATTATCCTCTAGTCCTGTGAGTAGAATCTGTGGCAAAAGTCAATACAATCAAAGTTTGAAACTTTACTGTATTATACTTAAAACTGCAAACCTTTGGATGTTACCAGAATACGCATATTTATTAACAATAAGTTTGCTATATAATACAGTCCTACAACCAAAAATTTCAAACAGATCATGCTGAAGAAT